CAACAGAATTGATACTTCTTATGTATTAGAGGAGAAGGTAATTACCATTACTTTTTCCATCTATATACCTGGCTCCAGTCATTAATAAATGAAGTCAGGAATTAATTCCTATTCATCAAGGAGTAAGTACACAAATGAAGCAAAAATCATAACACTTTAATTTTATTTCTAAATTTCAACTTTTACAATAAATTCATATTTATTTCATTTTTATGACAAAAGTTACTGCTTTTTTTTCTCCTCAAAAAAGACAGACACCCCTATCCACTTTGGATCCTTTAGCAACCAGCTTCTAGTAGTTCAGGCTCATGAATACCCTCAAAATTTATAATCTTTAAAAAATCCAACAAATCTTATAACCAGAAAATTTTTCGTCGAGGTTAATGTCATTGTAATTTAACTTCTCTAATGATTTTTGCTTAGAAATAAATAAGGAGAGTCTAATACTTACTGGGAAAGTATGGGGGGGTAACAGTGATCAAAATCTCAAAAATCAGAGACATACTTTTATTTTAAATTTGTAAATCTCAATCTAAAAAAAGCTGATTACTTAAATGAAAAAACCAGGTTAAATTAGAAAATCTATCTAATTTTGGCTCATAATCTCACAATTAACATAAAACTTAGAATAAAAGTCATCAGCTCTTTTCACTGCCATTTGATGTTAAGTATAGATATGCAAAATGTCAATGAAAAATATCATTACATGATATGATGAATAAATTACCATATTACCTACGTTATATGATATGATCTGCATTTTTATCTTTAAGATAATCCTATTTGCCCATTTATTTGGGAGAAAGATTTAAAAAAGCATTGCCCTTTTCTCTCCAAAATAAACACCAGACACAAAAGCTAATTTAAAATGTTAATAAACCTAAATGTAAATACTAAAACTATTACCGCACTCAAGATTTGAATGCATCTGGATACTACCTTCCCAGAGTTTTCCAAACAGCTTTCACCAAGGCTAAAGAAGAATCAATGATTCCTAACACCCAACTGAGATGACCAAGGCATGAACTGGGATCCAGAGTGAAAATATTGCTCAAGAACTCAAAGAGGCAGCATTGGAACCATCAATGGGAAAAAAATGTTCAAAATTGGCCAGGTAGGGGCCCTCCCTGGTGGCACAATGGGTTAAAGCACACCACTAAGAAGCTAAAGGCACTTCAGCATGAGTTCCATCCCCACCCCGGAGGTGATCCACATGGCACGGCAGACCTCTCCTGACCAGCCCGCTGCTCCCCTCAGCAGTGT